AAGTGAGTATAAACACGCCTAGGCTCCGCCCGCTTTGCGGTTAGAGACGCAGTGTGTCTCGCTTCTCTGGTGCTCTGACCTAAAAACTCAAAGTGGGCGGAGCCTAGTCGTGTTTAGGCTCATTTTGAAGCTCTAAGCGTGCAAAAAATCATGAAACTCATAAAAATTTGTGATATATTAAGTTTTGAAAGAAAAAAATGTGTTTTTCGCAACAACAAAAAAATGAGAAAAATTTTTTCTCAAAACTTTAAATTTTGCCTTAACAAACACGAGTTTTCCCATTTTTTTGACAGCTAGATGATGTGAAACTCATTGTCAGACTGCTGAATTTGAAATTTCTGAAAATTGCTGAATTTGGACAGAAAATAATGGAGTTACGGCGATTTTTCCAAAATTTTCGATTTTTCGACATTTCCAAAAATATTGGTTTTTCTCATAAATCCCTGAATTTCCAAAATTTTGAATCAAAACTTAACTATTTGAATTTAGCTCATTGTGAGCTTCAAAATAAGTATAAACACGCCTAGGCTCCGCCCACGTTGAGTTTCAAGGTTAGAGATGCAGCGTGTCTCGTTTCTCTGGCGCTCTACCCCCAAAATTGGGCGGAGCCTAGTCGTGTTTAGGCTCATTTTAAAGCTACGAACATGGCGAGGTCAAATTTTCAAACTTCAAGCGTTCCCAGTCTCCCAGTCTACTGAAAAAGAAACATTTCAGCCAAAAAAAAAAATTTTTTTTTTTTTGAAAAAATTCAATTTGGCTCAAAACAAAATAGGGTTTTTAAGACTTTTTTGGTAGTTTGTGTCTTTCGAGAAATTTCCAAACTGTCATAATGCATATGGTCTCATTTCCTGATGATGTCAACCAGCTGGCCCCTAAGAGATCAAAGACTAAAGGGACATAATGGAGGAGGACACTTGCTTCTAGATCATTCGAATTCCCATTATCTCTATTTCTCTCTCTCTCTCTCCAGATGTTCCCATAGAAAAGGACAAGGCCACTCTCTTTTTTTTTTGAAATCTTGACACGAGAAGATTGGAAATAAAGTTGAGAGTGTGAAATAGTTTCCGGAAACTTCTTGAAGTTTTGAGATATAGAGTAATATCAACTTGATTAGCCCATAACTCGTTTGAAAATAAATGTTTTCGAAATTCTCAAATTGGAAAATATAGATCTTGGAATGCTCTTCAAAATCATTTACAACATGATAGAGTTTCGGACCCTTGAACTCTAAATAAATGCTGCCAATCTATCAGCCTTCTAGAAGTTTCTAGAAGCGTCCAGAACTATCTAGAAGACAATCAGTCGGAATTTGAATTTAGAAAAAAAACTTGGCTAGAAAACTCTAGAATCCTCGAGAGATCAGTCTGGATGTTTCCAAAAGTTATTGTTTCCTTTGATTCGTCTAAACAGCTGAATGTCGCTCTGGAGATGTTGTAGTCTGTTTAGAGTTCTAGAATCTTCTAGAATGCATAGAATAATCCGAATAGTCCAACATTGCATATAGGCATTTCGGCATCTACAGTTCCATGTTGCTGGAAAATAGACAGGCTAGCGTTTTGACTCATAACTTGCTTCAAAATCCAAAATTTGGAAATTCTCAAATTGGAAAATGTAGATCATGAAAAGCTCTACAAGATGAGATAAAGCATACCAAAGTTTGAGACCCTTGGATTCTGTGCAGACACTCTCAAACTGGTGCCATTATTATATCAATTTGTAGAGCTTTTCAATGCCAACATTTTCCTGTTAAGATCGTTTGAAAATGTGGAATTTGAAAGAAGTTATGAGCCAAAAAAGGGGGCGCTAGTCTAGGGACCATAACTTTTTCCAAATTCAATTTTGTCAAAATCGTCAAATTGGGAAATGTAGGTCTTGAAAAGCTCTACAAGCCGATATAAATGTTTTTTGGAAAATGTTTTGTTTGAAATCATTCTAGATCATTCTTTTAAAAGCCAAACTCACCTCCTATAATCAAATGCTTTTCGATATCAATTTTTAGGCTTTAAAACCAACAAAAAACTTGGCACCTTGCCAGGTAGTTCCAATCCTATGACTAATATGGTCTCCTCAGGTCCCTTGAGTACATGACAACAAAATAATAATAATTCATGATGTTTGGTGTCTCTGTCATCATGAGAGCAAAACAATTCAAATATGACACAATTTGTCCGCCCAAAAAGAGAAGAAACTTCTGGAAATCGGACTCTAAGATTCTAGAGATAGATTTTGACTAGACACAAGATCCCTCTTGTGTCTCTTTCATTTTTTTTTCAAATTTAACATTTTTCAGAAAGTAAAAGTTTCAAAATGCTTTTTACTGTCTTGTAGAGCTTTTAAAGATCTACATTTCACAATTTTTTGAAAAATATGGACCGCAGGTCTTCATTGAAAGCTCTACAAATTGATATAAAAAATGATAGCAGTTTGACAGCATTTCCTTGGAATTCGAAATTTCAAAACTGTATCATAATTTATGTTATCTTGTAGAGCTTTTCAAAACCTACATTTCCCAATTGGACGATTCTGAAAAAATTGAATTTGGAAAAAGTTATGGTCCCTAGACTAGCGCCCCCTTTTTTGACTCATAACTTCTTTCAAATTCCACATTTTCAAACGATTTTAACAGGAAAATGTTGGCATTGAAAAGCTCTACAAACTGATATAAAAATGGGCACCAGTTTGAGAGTGTCTGCACAGAATCCAAGGGTCTCAAACTTTGGTATGCTTTATCTCCTCTTGTAGAGCTTTTCATGATCTACATTTTCCAATTTGAGAATTTCCAAATTTTGGATTTTGAAGCAAGTTATGAGTCAAAACGCTAGCCTGTCTATTTTCCAGCAACATGGAACTGTAGATGCCGAAATGCCTATATGCAATGTTGGACTATTCGGATTATTCTATGCATTCTAGAAGATTCTAGAACTCTAAACAGACTACAACATCTCCAGAGCGACATTCAGCTGTTTAGACGAATCAAAGGAAACAATAACTTTTGGAAACATCCAGACTGATCTCTCGAGGATTCTAGAGCTTTCTAGCCAAGTTTTTTTTTCTAAATTCAAATACCGACTTATTGTCTTCTAGATAGTTCTGGACGCTTCTAGAAACTTCTAGAAACTTCCAGAAGGTTGTTAGGAGCTCAAGGACATCCAGAAACGCTTCTAGACCTTTCCAGAGCATTCCAGCCTTCCAGACCCTTTTCCAGCTACGAACTTCCAAGTTTTGACACCCTGAAAGTTCTAGAAACTTCTAGAAGCTTTAACACTCTCTGAAGCCCTGGACTCCCCCCTAGAGACCAAGGCTTCTAGAACATTCAATATAGCTTACAAGCTCTTTGGAGCTCTAGAGCCTTCTACCCAACACTCGCCCCTAGAGTGACCATTAAACCAAAACCTTGCCCTTTCGAATGGCCGCAGCTTTGAACGACGGGCCAATCTGACCCCTCTCACCCGCCTGTTTACACTTCCCGTCTGACACCAATGACATCACTTTTTTGTATCCCCTTTTCCCCACCATTACCCTCCACCATCACTTTTCTCTGCGTCTCTCACTTTCTCTCTCTCTCTCTCTCTCTCTCTCTCTCTCTCTCTTTCTGCCTGTATTAGAGCTCCCCCACATGCTATCCTTTTGCCCTCCGCGGCACTTTTTTTTGTGTGTGTGTCCCCTTTTTTCTCTGCGTCTCTCTTATCTCTCCCATACAGTATTATATGGGAGGGCAGCATACACAAGGCCGCCAGCGCCGTTCCCCTTTTCTTTTTCTCTCTTTTTTTTGGTTTTCTCAGGGTCGCCAGGAAGATAGGTCAGATTCTGTGTTGACACAGACATTTTTTTTAAATTTGAATTTGATTTTTTGGCGAAAAAAAATCGCTTTTCGCCAATTACTGTAGAAAAATTACTGTAGAAAAATTGAAAATCTTGAAGGCACAGACCTTTTTTTTCGAATTTTTTAGCGAAAAATTCAAATTTCTAGCGAAAAAATCGCTGAAAAACACTGAAAATTAGCGAAAAATTCAAAATTTTCAGAAAATTACGGTAGAAAATTCAAAATCTTTAAAGGCACATAACTCGAACTGCTGTTTGATGTTTCGCAGCGAAAACTAATTTTTATGATTTTCAGTGGATTTTTTGTGCATTTTAGGGATTCAATTTAGCTATTTTGATAGAAATACAAGCAATTTATTTGTTTTGCATTTTTTCGACAGAAATCGCTGGAAAATTTAGCTGAAACCCGCTGAAAATCCCAATTTTAAAATTGCGATTACGGTTTAAAGGCACATGCTTAAACTTTATCGTTGGAGTTTCACAGCGAAAGAATATTTTAGCGAATTTTGAATTTGTCTGAAATTCAATCATGTTTGGGTTAAAATTGATCAAATTTCGGGCTGAAAAAGACATTTTTACCTAAAAAGACATAAGGAAACTCGATATTTTTACACTATTTACTCGCTAAAAGTCCCAAAAATCCCAGAAAATTCCGATTTTTTCAGCTTTTTTATTTTCAGGTGGAAAACAATGTCATCTCTGCGTCAATCGTCGACGGCGACGTCGCCAACGTCTCCGGTGACACGGAATGTCTACTCTCGAGGCTCTGTAGACGTAGAATCTGGAGAAATTTCACAGCCGAACAGCCATAAACGCCCGTATACACCGGGTGCCAGTCCCCGAGGTTTTTAGAATTTCCCGCTTTTTTTAATCTAGGTGGGAATTTTAAAATTTTGAATTTAAAAAAATTCAGAAATCCTCTTCGCCCAATCGGTTCGTCAGCTTCCATCGCCTTCGCAAACATCACCTCATGGGTCAAGGTGCGCTCTGTTGACAATCTGAAGTGTTGAATTTTGAATTTCGCGCCAAGAGTTCCCGGGCGCGAAATTCAAATTTTGCTCCATGATTTCCACGTTTTGAGCTGAATTTTCCATTTTTTTTTTTTGCGAATTTCCCAATTTTTTCAGGTTTATGGACGGGTATCGTCGCCGAATGCGTCAGGCGAGTCTGAATTTGCCATCGGAGACGCAGCAACTGGATGAAGGTGGGCGGGAATTTGAAAAATTTGAATTTTCGAAAAAAAATGTTTTTTGAAAAATCAATTTTTTTTTCGAATTTTTTGAAATTTGTGGCCTAAAAAATCCTAGTCCACCTTTTGCAGACCTCGGCTTTCCGCCAGTGTGCTCACCGCCGCCCGAAGTGTTCTGTGGCTCGATTTCCGGCAATCAAATGAGAAATCGATCGAATTCGGAGGCTCATCCGTCGATGCGAATGAAATCCACGCATTCTTTGGGCAACGGTGGACTTTTGGTGTTTTTTCCCACCTCGCCATCGTCCTCGTCGAATAATTCAGGTGCGAAATTCGGATTTTAGGGCGAAACATCGAGTTTTAGGTGTTTTAACCACTTTCTAATGCTCCAAAACGCTTGAAAATACCCTAAAACGATTTTACAAAAAATTTGCCACCGGGTGGAATCGAACCCGGACCTTGAGATTGGTAAATTTGGGATCCACTGAGCCAAATGTGCAATTTCTCAAAAATAAGATAAAAGTTGATTTTTAGGGTTTCTGGGGGGTTTTAGAGGGTTTTAGACCGTATTTTTTAGGCTAAAGATAGTTTTTCATGCTAGAAACCACTGATTTTCGACCTAAAAACGTCCAAAAAATCAGAAAATTGAATTTTCTACACTTAAAATTGATTTTTGGGGGTTCTAATCACTTTTAAACGCTCCAAAACCCGTAACAATACTAAAAAGATTTTTCTGAAAATTTGCCACAGGTGGGAATCGAACCCGGGTGTTGAGATTGGTAAATTTGGGATCCACTGAGCCAAATGTGCAATTTTTGAAAAATGAGCGGAAACTCGATTTTTTGGGTTTCTAGGGGGGTTTAGAGGGTTTGAGAGTGTATTTTGTGGGTTTTAAAGTGCTGAAAATGGCGATTTTCAGCCGAAAATGACCCAAATTCTAGTTTTGGGTTTTAGAGCGAATTTTCAGGTCTAAAACCCCTAAAAGAGTGCCTTTACTCACAGTTTTTATCGAATTTTAGCTCGGAAATTCCGATTTTCAGGATTTAGGCGTTTCAAATAAGTTTTTTTCTTAGCAATCTGAGAATGTTCCGAAACGATTTTGGAGCTTAAAATGAGTAATTTCCTCTCTTTTCTCAGTGGTTGTGAACCAAAATGAGCTAGAATTGGCCAAAAAATTTTTTTCGAAAAAATTACAATTCAAATTTTCGGCACTTAGACTCAATTTTTGAGCGTTCTAACCACTTTTTAACGTTCTAAAACCTTCAAAAATAGTCTAAAACGTTTTTTTCAAAAAAAATGCCATCGGGGGGAATCGAACCCGGACCTTGAGACTGGTAAATTGGAGACCCACTGAGCCACATGTGAATTTTTGGGAAAATGAGCGGAAACTTGATTTTTAGGGTTTCTAGGGGGTTCTAATGGGTTTTAGGGCGAATTTTCAATCTGGAAAGTGCTAAAATCCGTCATTTTGGCTTTAAAAAATCAATTTTTATTCCAAAAAATCGAACTTTTCACTTCAAAAATTGAAAATTTTTCTTCCAGGACCACTATCACACCGTCGCGAGAGTCATACGGATGAGACTGCCGAGGATGCAATTGTTTGGTCCACGAATAACGACAAAGTGATGAGACACTGGAAGAGGACGAATCGATGTGTGTAGATGAGGTCGCCAGTGTTAAAGACGTTGAAATGGCCAGTGTTGGCGGTGGATGCAGTGGAAAATCGTTGAAAAGACCACCAGATACCAGTGGTACGTTTTACACCCGGAAAATTAGTGGAAATTTGAGAAAATTCGGGAAAAATCGAGTTAGAACGGTCAAAATTTCGTTTTTCAACCTTTAGACTCAATTTTTGGGGGTTCTAACATGTTTGAAACGCTCCAAACCTCTAAAAAATACCCTAAAATAAGTTTTAAAAAATTTGCCACCGAGGGGAATCGAACCCGGATGCTGAGATTGGTAAATTTGGGATCCACTGAGCCAAATGTGCAATTTTCCAAAAATGAGCGAAAAGTTGATTGTTAGGGTTTTCAGGGGGTTTTAGAAGGTTTTAGAGCGTATTTTTGGGCCTAAACATGCTATAAAAGTCTGAAAAATTCGATTTTCTTCGAATTTTGGAGTTGGAAAAACCTAAACATCCGTTTTTTGACCTTTAAACTCAATTTTTGGGGGCTCCAGCCTGTTTAAAACGTTCTAAAACGTTTGAAAATAGTCTACAACGATTTTCCGAAAAATTTGCCACCGGGGGGAATCGAACCCGGGTGTCTAGATTGGTAAATTTGAGACCCACTGAGCCACATGTGCAATTTTTCGAAAATAAGGGAAAAGTTGATTTTTAGGGTTTTCAGGGGGTTTTTAGAAGGTTTTAGAGCGTATTTTTGGGTCTCAAAGTGCTAAAAATCAACTTTTTCAGCCGAAATTTTGGAACATTTCTGGAATTTTTGACTGAAAAACTTTTTTTTTTCCAGACTTTTTTTGGGGTCTTTGCTGTTTTACTTTTGTTTCATTTTTATGCTCTTTTCTGTTGATTGCAGTTTTATTTTTTTCCCCTTTTTTCCCATTTTCTGATGGGGCGAAATTGAAAAAAAATGGGAAGAAAATGGAACTCGAATCTCTTCTTCTCCTCAAGTTCTCCCCCTTTTTTCGTCGTCTTCTGCTCTTAAAGATGAGCAATGAGCAACTGAAAAAAATATGTACTTGGAGCAAGAAAAGAAACTCTTTCTTTTTTTCCAATCCCAGGAACATTTCCCCACAAACTTTTTCCTTTTTTTTCCCTTTTTTGTTGTCTTTCGGAACAATCTGACGACTATCCAATGAAATTGGAGAATTGAGCAATCTCCCCCCCCCCCCTCCCCTTTTCCCCAGCGATTTTGGACCAAAATGAGCTGGAATGGTCAAAAAACAATTTTTCGAAAAAATTATATTTGCATTTTCGGCATTTAAACTCAATTTTTGGGGTTTCTAACCAGTTTTAAACGCTCCAAAACCCGTAAAAATACCCTAAAACGATTGTACGGAAAATTTGCCACCGGGTGGAACCGAACCCGGATCTTGAGATTGGTAAATTTGGGATCCACTGAGCCAAATGTGCAATTTTTCGAAAAAGTGCCAAAGCTTGATTTTTAAGGTTTCTAGGGGGTTTTAGAGGGTTTTAGAGTGTATTTTGATGCTAAAAACAGTCGAAACCTCTCGTTTTCAGCCTAAAATTCTGCCAAAATTATTTTGAACGCTCTATAAGAGCTCTAAACTTACTTTTTGGGTGTTCTAACCACTTTTAAATATAGGGCCATAGCCATTTCAATTCAAAAAAAGAGCCCATTATTCAGTCAGCTCCATTTTTAATTTTGAGCCAAAAAAAAAACGAGATGTCCTCTCTTTTTGGCTCTATTTTCTCCCCCCATTTTTTGCCACAACCAAAAATGGGGAAATTGTTTGATTTGTGTGAAAAAAGAGAGGAAAAAAGACAGAGTAAACACTTTTTTTTTCTGACTTTTGTGCTCTTTTTGATGACTGATATTTGGGCTCAAAACGACGTCCAAATTTTAGTGATAAGAATGATTACCTTTTTGCGGGAAACAAATTGAATGAAAATGAGCAATTTTGAGTCACTTTGAGCCGATTTTCAGTCCGGAAAATGTGATTTTTTAGAATTTTGAAGTCCCCAAAAGGCACTTTAACTCAATTTTTGGGGTTTCTAACATGTTTAAAACGCTCCAAAAAGCCTGAAAATGGTCTAAAACGATTTTTCAAAAAATTTGCCACAGGTGGGAGTCGAACCCGGGTGTTGAGATTGGTAAATTTGGGATCCACTGAGCCAAATGTGCAATTTTTTGAAAGTGAGCGAAATCTTGATTTTTAGGGTTTCTAGGGGTTTTAGAGGGTTTGAGAGTGTATTTTGTGGGTTTTAAAGTGCTGAAAATGGCGATTTTCAGCCGAAAATGACCCAAATTCTAGTTTTGTCGGGTTTTGGAGAGGGAGGGGGGCCCAGAAACGTCGAAAAATGGCTTATTTTTCTGGATTTTTTCAGAATTTTTTCAGAATTTTTTGGTCTAAGAAAAGAAAGTCTCTCAAATCGTGCATTCTGACTTTCGACCTCTTTCTCTGCGTCTCTCGCACTCTCTCTCTGCCACAGAGATTCCAATTTTTGCTGTCCTCATTACATTTTTTTTTTCGCTTCTCTCTTTTTTTCTAATAGAGTGTCCAGTCCACCAGCCAGCAGTCAACATAACCATCGCTCTTCGTCTTCTCTCGTTTCTCTGCGTCTCTCAATTCTCAGTACTCTCTCGCCTGCCGGCTGCTTTGGCTGCTGCTGACCACGTGAGGAGTAGAGAGATTGTGCTTGATTAGGAAAAAAAAGAGAAGTCGGGAGGATAAATGAAAATAGAGAAGAGATAAGACCCCCAACAATTTTGGGTTTGAGGCGATTTCTTAGGCTCCGCCCACTTTCTCCCCCTCCCCCCCCTGTCCGCAAAAAATAGCGGTTGATTTTCGATCTCTTTTCTTCTTTTTTTTGACGAGAATTTGTGTTATCAGCCGCAGCTGATAACATAATCATTTGGAAGAGAAACACACATTTTCGTCCATTTTTTATTTATTAGTATCGGCACTTTCCGGGAAAATTGTTTCCAAAAACTTTAAAATTGAATTTTCGACCCCTAAACTCAATTTTTGGGGGTTTTAACCGTTTTTAAACGCTCCAAAACCCGTAAAAATACCCTAAAACGATTGTACGGAAAATTTGTCATCGAGGGGAACCGAACCCGGACCTTGAGATTGGTAAATTTTGGATCCACTGAGCCAAAAGTGCATTTTTGGAAAAATGAGCGGAAACGCGATTTTAAGAGTTTTTAAGGGGTTTTGGATGGGTTTAGAGCGTATTTTGATGCTAAAAACAATCGAAACCCCTTGTTTTCAGCCTAAAAATGACCTAAATGAGCCAGATAGTGACAAAAATGAATTTTCGGTCCTTAGAACCAATTTTCTTGCTTTTTAACCTATATTTTACACTTCAAACGGCCTAAAAATAGTCTAAAACGAATTTGCTAAAAATTTACCGCCGGAGGGAATCGAACCCGGATGTTGAGATTGGTAAATTGGAGACCCACTGAGCCAAATGTGCATTTTTGGGAAAATGAGCGGAAACTTGATTTTAGGGTTTCTAGGGGGTTTTAAAGGGTTTTAGGGTGTATTTTTGGGTCTAGAAATGCCAAAAATCGAATTTCTAGCCCCTTTTCAGCCGACTTTGCTGAAAATCGCTCTGAAAAACACCACTCTCATAGGCTCCGCCCACTTTTCAACCACTCTACTTTTGTTTATCGCTTTATATTCATTTTGCTCCCATTTTTTGTTTTCCAAGTACTCATTGAAATTCCCAACGACGAACAAATGACCTTTTTCGTTCTTTTTTGAATCAAACATTTCGAATTTTCGGACTTTTCTGTGTTTCCTAGTGTCCGGATGTCCGCGCTTACACACACTATTTGTACCTATCAATTTTTGGTTTTTTTTTGTTCAAAAAATAAAAGATGATAGAATCTTTTTTCACTTTTTCACTTTGGTCAAAAATCAAACGGTCATTTTGGCCCAAAAATGACGTTTTGGGGTCAAAAATTGGTCGAATTTTTAAAGTTTGACCTGAAAAACGAGGTTTTTCGGCGTTTTGACCACTTTTAAACGCTCCAAACGCCCTGAAAATAGTCTAAAACGATTTTTCAAAAAATTTGTCACCTGGGGGAACCGAACCCGGGTGTTGAGATTAGTAAATTTTGGATCCACTGAGCCAAATGTGCATTTTCTCAAAAATAGGCAAAAACTTGATTTTTAAGGTTTCTAGTGGGTTTTAATAGGGTTTAAGGCGTATTTTTAGGTCTAAACATGCTATAAAAGTCTGAAAATTTCAATTTTCTCCGAGTTTTGGAGTTGGGAAAACCTATAAATCCGTTTTTCGACTTTTGAACTCAATTTTTGGGTGTTCTAATCACTTTTAAACGCTCCAAACCTCTAAAAATACCCAAAAACGATTTTCAGAAAAGTTTGCCACCGGGGGGAGCGAAAAGTTGATTTTTAGGGTTTCTAGGGGGTTTTAGATGGGTTTAGAGCGTATTTTGGGGTACTATCGTTGCAGTTTGATCCTAAAAGTGCTATTTTCAGACATTTTTTGGCTGAAAACCGATTTTTTCAGAAAATCCGCGGATTTTCAGTTACATTAAGAAAATTGGAATATTGTTGGAGAGCATTTTTAGGGTTTTCAGGGGGTTTTAGAAGGTTTTAGAGCATATTTCCATACTAGTCGGAGGCTTTTGAAGCTAGTTTCAGCCTTTTTGTGACTATTTTCAGCCTCAATTCCAACCCCAACCCAATAATTTCCTCTCCTTTTTTGGCTGTAATTTGACACCCAAATGGATTATTTTGATGTTTTTTTTTCTCTTTTATTCTTCAAGTGGCTAGACGACGACGCCTTCTGTTCTTTTTTTCTTCTATTTCCGTGATTCTCACCCTCTTCTACTCCTTTTTCTCGGTATTGTTTTGTTTTTTGGGCTGTTTTTTTTGGCGCCAAAAAATAAGTAACTCGATAGATTTCCAGTGAAATTTGACCATATTTTTGATCGAAACTGTTTTTGGATGATTTGTTGCAAAGCATTAAAATTGCATTTTTGACACTTAAACTTACTTTTTGGGTGTTCTAACCACTTTTAAACGCTCCGAACACTATGAAAATACCCTAGAAAAAGTTTCAAAAAAATTTGTCACCGAGGGGAATCGAACCCGGATGCTGAGATTGGTAAATTGGAGACCCACTGAGCCACATGTGCAATTTTTTGAAAGTGAGCGAAAAATTGATTTTTAGGGGTTTCTAGGGGGTTTTAGAGCGTTTTTTCATGTTAAAAGCATTCAAAAAACCTTTTTTAGGCTAAAAACGATAAAATGTGAGGCTTAATGCTTTGAAACGCGTTTTTGGCTCAAAAATCCATACTTAAACTTAATTTTTGGGGGTTCTAACCAGTTTTAAACGCTCCAAACCCCGTAAAAATACCCAAAAACGAGTTTTAAAAAATTTTGCCATCGGGGGAATCGAACCCAGACCTTGAGATTGATAAATTTGGGATCCACTGAGCCAAATGTGCATTTTTTCGAAAAAGTGCCAAAGCTTGATTTTTAAGGTTTCTAGGGGGTTTTAGAGGGTTTAGAGAGTATTTTTGAGGTCTAGACGTGCCTAGGATGCTTCTAGAAGCACGTTTTTGCTATTTTTAGCGCAGGAATCTTCTAGAAGTTTCTAGAACTTTCTGAACACACACACACACACACACAGACACCTGACTGTATGACTATTTGTCTGTATGTCTCAAAAAAAAAGACCCATGACTCACTTTTTACTTTTCTTCAATTCTGTCTGGTCTAGCACATTCGAAAATGTTTCTGCTCCAACTGACCAGTGTTGACCATTTAAACAGTATTCATGTGATTTGATGGTCGAAATGGGCGGAGTCTCAGAGTTTTGAACATTTTAAGAATTTAGGCTCTAAGGCTCTATCTAGGCCCTGTTTAGGCTTATTTTCAGTCAATTTTTGACAATCTTCCGAGCATTTTCCATCCGGTTATGGTCTATTTTTTGAAGTTATAGCGTTTTTATTTTTGGAACAACTTCACATCATTTAGTTCAGTTTCTTTTTTCCGCTTTCTCTAATTCTCTCTCTCTCTCTCTCTCTCTCTCTCTCTCTCACTTTGATGCTGACCACTAACACACACGAACCTATTGAGATGGCACGTTTTGTATTAAATAGTGCATTTGGTACAAACCCCCTATGATTTTGGACCAAAACCTGGAATAGCGAAAAACAAAGGTTTTGAAAAACTTAAAATTGAGTTTTCGGCACTTAAACTCAATTTTTGGGTGTTCTAACCAATTTTAAACGCTCCAAAACCTGCAAAAATACCCTAACGCTATTTTTCAAAAAATTTGCCACAGGTGGGAGTCGAACCCGGGTGTTCAGATTGGTAAATTGGGGATCCACTGAGCCAAATGTGCATTTTTTGGAAAATGAGCGGAAACTTGATTTTTAAGGTTTCTAGGGGGTTTTAGAGGGTTTGAGAGTGTATTTTGGGGGTTTTAAAGGGCCTAGACTGCCTTTTTAAGCAGAAATTCCTACTTTCTAGCTGAAATTTGGTCATTTTTGGGCTATTTTAAGCCAATTCCCCAATTTCTAGGTGTCAAAAGTCGTTGTTGTTTTGCAGGACGACGCGCCAGGTGCAAAAAAAAAGAAGTAATGATGTTTTTGCTCTTTTTCTCTGCGTCTCTCTTCCCTCTCTCTCTCTCCGTCTTCATATTTTCAGCCTATTCGTTTTCCCTCTCCTTTTTTCTTGATAGGATTATTATAGATTAGAAATAACGCCGTTTTTTTGTGTATAGACCATTGACATTCTGTTGGCATTCAGACGACGATTTCTATGGGCATCATTGCTCAGCATTGCTCACCTTTATCTATTTTTTTCTGAAAAATTTCAGTTTTTGGCTCAAAAATCCATACTTAAACTCAATTTTTGGGGTTTCTAACCAGTTTTAAACGCTCCAAAACCCGTAAAAATACCCTAAAACGAGTTTTAAAAAATTTTGCCATCGGGGGGAATCGAACCCGGACCTTGAGATTGGTAAATTTAAACCCCACTGAGCCGAAGGTGAAATTTTTGGGAAAATGAGCGGAAACTTGATTTTTAGGGTTTCTAGGGGGTTTCAGATGGGTTTAGACCGTATTTTGGGGTACTATCGTTGCAGTTTGATCCTAAAAGTGCTATTTTCAGACATTTTTTGGCTGAAAACCGCTTTTTTTCAGAAAATCCGCGGATTTTCAGTTACATTAAGAAAATTGGAATATTATTGGAGAGCAAGCAAAACCACTTTTAAGAGGATTTTTTAAATTTTGCCTCACTGATGTTTGGAGCACGTTTTGAGGACAAAAAATGCACATTTTCAGCTGGATTTGGCTGAAAATTCCAGAATGAAAAGTGCAATTTTGCTGAAAAAGAAATTCTGAAAAATTCTGAAAAAACAGCTGTTTTCGCCCCAAAAATCGGTGAAAAACGACATTGCTCAGCTTTAATTAGATTACTGTACTTTCTCAAGAGATTGCTCATGTCTTGGAAATGTACCGTAATTCCGTATTTAAGCGATTCAAAATAGCTGATAATCGCTCCATTATGAATAAGCTACTGTAATCTAACGAGATCTACCGTAATCCATTTAAAAAATCACGGTAAATTGCTTATTTGGGTTTCCTACAGTAACCCGGTTACTGTAGATTACCTCAATACAGTAACCCATCCGATAGTTTCTAGAGATTGCTCATTTTGATGTCTGTCCTACAGAAACCTAGCGATTTTATCTGCTACAGTAACCTCTCTTGGATTACTGTATCCCTATATTTCTAGAGATTGCTCATCCCAATTTTCCATTTCCTACAGAAATCTTTCTCGGATTACTGTACTCCTATATTGCAAATACAGTAACCTATCGCCTCTAGAGATTGCTCATTCCCATCATTTTTTTCCACAGTAACCTCTATTAGAATACTGTACCCCCCTAGGTTGCTCATCTAAACTTTTTCTACAGTAACCCTCCTTGATTGCTCATCCCAAGTTCTTCATTTTTGTAGTTACAGTACCCCCCTAAATTGCTCATCAAAGCCGTACCCTATTGTCTCGTTTTGATTGCTCATTTTTCTGTCTTACTACCGTAATCCCCCTCGATTTTTGAATATTTTAGTTCCTTCTACTCCAAATCCACCCTAAAAATCGATAAATCGATAATCGACGGGTCCATGGCTACAGTATCCACATCACCGCCATCAACGTCATCTGGCTCCAATCACCTTATCTTTCCCCCATGCCCCCCGCCGGACCCCTTCACCCAAATCAGATCACCAACACCATCAGCTCTTCTTGTGTTCCTTGCGGCCACGCCCCCTTCTGAAACCTCTCAGAATGTTCTGGAGACGTCAGCAGGACCCATCAGTCCCCGACGACGATGGTCCAGCCAAAAAGAGCCCCGTGGAGGGACCCAGAGTGCTCCGTGTAGCGCCAGACGAGTCGAAAAATCGATATCTCTGGATTGCGAATCGATGGATCGATTCTTCCTATCATCTAGGAGCACGTTGAGCACAATAGAGCAGGAGACAGAATGCTCAGCTTCAACGGAGCACGATCATCCGTCCCCACTGCCGTCGAAGGGGCTGATAAGGAAGTTTCGGAAGAGAATCCTGAGCAGTGATAAATCTTCATCGGCTCCTGCCTGTACGAGCTGTAATGGAACATGTATGAGCAATGCAAACAGCCAAAAAAGTCCCAAAAATCGCTAGTTTTGAGCCAAAATGAGCTATAGAACGTTAAAATTGAATTTTCGACCCCTAAACTCAATTTTTGGGATTTCTAACCAGTTTGAAACGCTCCAAAACCCGTAAAAATGCCCAAAAAACGAATTTTTAAAAAGTTTGCCACCGAGGGGAATCGAACCCGGACCTTGAGATTGGTAAATTGGAGACCCACTGAGCCAAATGTTCATTTTTTCGAAAATGTGCGGAAACGCGATTTTTAGAGTTTCTAGGGGGTTTTTGATGGTTTTAAAGAGTATTTTTGGGTCTAAAGAACGTTTTCATGCTAGGAATCCCTGATTTTCAGCACAAAAACGTCCAGAAAAACTTAAAATTGAGTTTTCGGCACTTAAACTCAATTTTTGGGGTTTCTAACCAATTTTAAACGCTCCAAAACCTGCAAAAATACCCTAACGCGATTTTTCAAAAAATTTGCCACCGGGTGGGATCGAACCCGGGTGTTCAGATTGGTAAATTGGGGATCCACTGAGCCAAATGTGCATTTTTTGAAAAATGAGCGAAAAGTTGATTTTTATGATTTCTAGAGGGTTTTAGAGGGGTTTAGAGTGTATTTTTAAGTCTAAAATTACAGTAATCCTCTCAAATTGACGTTTTCCAGGCTCATCGTCATCGTCCAGTGGCAACAACTCGGGTGCGCATTCAATGGTTCAGGGTAGGTTTTTTGCAGTTTTTTGAGTTAAAAAAACTCTAGAAAACGCTGAAAATGACGAATTTCAGCATAAAATTGGCCAAATTTCGGCCTAAAAATCTGAAAAACCCCAATTTTCAGCAGCCAATTTGTATTCGCCGCGCCAGCGACCACTATTTGTGGACACTCAAATGACGAATCACCTCCAGCAACAGGATTCAGCAATGAAACGGCGTAGTCCAGTGTCACAGGTCGTTGATTTTGTACGCGGACGGAATCGCACCTATTCGGTGAGGATTTAGAGCAAAAATGAGCAAAAATAGCGAAAAATCTGAAAAATTGAGCCAAAAATTAGCTTAAAATGTGGAATTTTGAGCCAAAAATGAGCTGAAATTGACCAAAGTACTGTAATCCAAGGAACTCCTATGATTGCTCAGCTTTAATCAGCAATTTTTCCGTTACAGTAACCACCGTAAAAAATGTAAATTTAAGCTGAGCAATCCTATGGTGCAGTACTCCTTCTTAAAGGGAATACTGTAGTTTAACCCAGAATGTTGATATTGGATTACTGTAGTTATTGAGAGACAAAGCTGAGCAAATGGGGCACCTCAAAATCAAATATGAGCAATCAGCGGAATCTACAGTAACCCTTCATCTCCACCAAAAATAGTCCTAGGGTTACTGTAGGTGCAAAGACTAACACGTGAAGAATGAGTGATCTAGGTACAGTAATCCAGCTGAGCGGTTCCAAAATACAGTACTCTTACGGTAGCTTTAGCCTATATTGGGATACGGTAATCTTACTATTAGGGTTACTGTAGGTACCGTAGTCCAGGAAAGTAAAGTACAGTAAACCTTTTTTGCAGTTACGTTTACTCCTGTCTACAGTAACCGATAAGCAATCCAGGGAAACTGGGTACAGTAATCTATTACTGTACCCTAGATTGCTTATCTTCCTTGCCTACAGTAATGGATTACTGTAGCCCAGTTTTATTGCAGTTGCTCTTTAACATTGCAATAATCCATCTACAGTAACCCTTCCTAACCAAAAATAGTCCTAGGGTTACTGTAGGTATCGTAGTCAAGGGGTACTGTAGGCTAAGTGAAGGAGGAGTGATTTAGATACAGTAATCCACTGTTTAAAATAAGCAATTCCTAAGTTATAGAAAGTCTAGAATTACTAGAGATTCAGACTACAGTTGGATACAGTAATTTGAGGGATACGGTAGGTACCGTAGTTAAGGATTACTGTAAGTAAGAAATGAGCAATCAGCCTTACCTACAGTAGTCCATCTTCAATTTTGCAGTCTTAGCAGTTACTCGGTCTCCTGCCTACAGTAACCAATAGATTACTGCACCTTTTTTCTAGACTGTTCACCCTTCTTGCCCTTACAGTAACCCAAAACCAATACTGCTCATCCAAAACAGCCAGGGTTACTGTACCCAGTTTCTCTGGATTGCTCATTCTTCTCACCCCCCTACAGTACCCATTTTCTTGCAGCTCCAACTCTCCTCCTCGCCAATGTGCTCCCCACAATCAGTTGGCGCTCGTGCAAGTGCCTCGTGTGATGGACCCCCACAACCCCTCCTCCCATCTCCAGGAGGACGTCGTCAAACACTGAGTGGGCGTGTCCATCGTGCGTCATTCACTGGTGGAACACTCAAATCTTTCGATTCTGGACTCGATCTATCATCACCCACTATCAATCATACGGCACTCTTGATCAAGGAGGTGAGTCGCTTTTTTTTGGAAATTTCAGATAAAGAAGTGCCACGTGTAAAAAATCAAAGACCTTTGGAGACGAAGAAATCGAAGAAACTGCAGTAATCCAACCGCAAGAACGGGGAACTACAGTACCCGGGATTACTGTAATCAGAAATTCTTAAAACTACAGTTGATTGCTCATCCATAGCTCAAGTAGAAGAACTACAAGATACTTCCCTGGTTGCTCAGAATGGAGAAGCTACAGTAGCCGAGAGGGTTACCGTCCTAGATTGCTCATCCCTTGGGTATCTGTATTGCTCATCCAGATTACTGTATTCCCAATTTCCTCCTAGATTGCTAATTCTTATTGCTGCCTACAGTAACCCATAGATTACTGTAGCTAGTTTGTCTAGATCAAACAGGCTAAGTTGCTCGTTCTTCCCATCCCTATAGTAAGCTATAGATTACTGTACCTACAGTATCCCTGGGGTTACTGTATCCTCTGGATTACTGTACCACAGTTTCCTCCTAGATTCTCATAGATTACTGTAGCGCGGTTTTCTTGATTCATCTAGCTTTTCTATATTTTCCTCGTCAACCAAAAAAAAACAGGAAATTCTAGCAATTTCCTCTCCCGGCATTTTTAGGCTCCGCCCACTTTTTTTTTGGCTATAATTGACTGAAAATTTGCCCATTTTTCACCCACTGTTTACACACACACTGGCTAAAGACCTCGAAATCCAATTTGTGGCCAAAATTGGACAAATTTGATTTTTGTCTAGAGACAACGATTTTTAGTTTTACGATTTCAAATCGAATTTTCAGAAAATTTAAGATTGGAGTGTTGATTTGTGGGCTTAAATAAGGCATTTTGGATCATTTTTCGGAGATTTTCGGCCATGTTTCATGCCTGGATGGCGTCAGAATATTCCTTTCCCCCCCCGTATC